GTAGGGCTTTCAGGTTAAATATAGAATGTACTTAGCAAGCCAAGCACTAGTGGCTCATGCCTATAACCCCAGCTACTCAGGAGGTTGAGAACTGAGAATCATGGCTCAAAGCCAGCCTGGACATAAATGTCCATGAGATTCTTATCTCCAATTAACCACCAAAAAGGCAGAACTGGAGCTGTGGCTCAAGTGATAGAGTGCTAGCCTTGAGCAGAAAAGCCAGGGGAGAGTGACAGGCCCTGAGTTCAAGCCTTAGTAATTGGTACAGGCACTCACAGACACACATAAAGAACATGCTTAGCATATTGAAGGGTACTAAGTAAGAGTACTGAATAAGCCAGCCCCAGAGCCCTGTGCCTACCCACTAGGTTCCCCCCCCCCGCCCCCGCCCTGCCCGCCACCCGCAGTGTGTTTGAGATAGGCTGCTGGGTCCATGGCGGTTGTGGTAGTTCTAACTGGAGCTAATTTGGAGTCTGGCCACTGCTCTCAATTCATTTCCCCAGCTCCACACAGGGCTGGCCAGTTCCGTGCGGCTGTCCTTTGTAATTATGCCTTGCCTCCCTAGGGTGTCTGGGCCTGAGCTGTTTTTCTGTTTTCTCCCCTTTATTTCGGCCACTCTGCTTTTCTGACTCTGCTCCTGGGACAGCCAGCCAGAGCTGCCCGTCCCCAGCCCAGCCCGGCGCCCGGCTCCCTGGGAGCTGTGGTTCTACCTTTCCATGCACTCTCCCCCAGCCAGTTTCTATTTTCCCCCACGTTCCACTGGCTTCCCGTGGTTTCTCTTGGCCCGAGCTCAGGCCTGGCATGGCATGTCTGGTGTGGTCGCCCTCCCCTTCCCATGTCAGGTTGGGGAGGAAGCAAGTGCATGCGGGGTGGGCGGTATGTGGAGCTGGGCACTGCCAGCCCAGGTGCCAAGCCAAATAGCTTGTCCACGGTGTCTGACTCAGTACCTGGGGGCTGGAAAGCCAGGCAAGCTGCTGTATCCCCTACCCTAGCCCAACCCAGACCCCCACACCTACTTCCTACTGCCCTGGTGGGGCTCAAGCTGGGAGAGGTAGGGCCTCAGGGCTGACTTGTTCCAGTGTATGCAGGGAGCTGCCTTTCTGGAGCAAGAAACAGCTTCCCCCAGGACGTGAGCTGCACCTGGCCTGCCCCCAGGACACCCCTTCCCACCAGGGGAGCCGGGCCAGAGGTGAACCCCCCATTAGCCTCCCCTGTTTGTCCCAACAGGAAGCAGGACATTTCTACCTGCCAATGCCCTGGCAAGTAGAAAGCCCAGGATTCCGGCCATCAAAAAGGTGGCATTGTGATGGATACCAGTGAAATCCAGAGCGACATTGGGGAATATTTTGAAATGCTATAAGTCCAATAAATAGGAAACCTTAGGAAAAATGGATATGTTTCTAGATACACATGAAAATTGAAGCAAGAAGACATAGACAAGCTAAACAGCCATAACAAGCAATGAGAATAACGTCTAAGAGTCTCCCAACAAACAGAAGCCCAGGACTGAATGGATTCATTGCTGAATAATACTAGACTTAAGAACAAGCACCAATAAATACTCCAAGTATTCCACAAAATAGAAAAGGAAGAGATACTTCAAAGCTCCTTCAAAGTCAGTATGACCCTAATACCCTAGCTGGTAAGGACACTTGCAAGGAAGGAAGGGAGGGAGGGAGGGAGGGAGGGAAGAAGGGAGGGAAGGAGGGAAGAAGGGAGTAGGAGGAAGAGGTAAAGGGGAGAAAGGGGAAGAGGAAGGAGAGAAAGGAAGGGTAGGGAAGGAAAAAGAGAAAAGAAAGAAGAAAGGGAGGGATGAAAGGAGAGAGGAAGGAATGAAAGGAAGGAAGGGAAGGAAGTTTGAACCCACGAAGGAAGGGTATAGCTTCCTTTTTAAAAGATTATATTTCTATTCTTAGGAGAGGAACACCAAGGTGCAATGCCTATGTGCATCTGATCATACAAAATAATATTTATCAAAATGAACCCCAGGAAACAGAAAAAATACATTTGTATTATCTTTAAGTAGTTATACAAAGGGGTTACCATTCAATGAACCTGTATAAAGGTACGATGCATCTTGGGTGATGTCACCCTGGGGCATGGCTTCTTGACATTTTCATAACGCTGATGTCACCTCTCACTCCTGCCCCTGCCTTTCCTTAGGGCCCTGCTTCCTTGGTTCAGGAGCCACTTCCCTGTCCTCACCTCCAGGCTGTTCCCCCACACTGCTGCCAAAGGGTTTTTAGTGCCATCATATTGCTTAGAGTCAGCCACACCTCCCATGATGTGAAGCATGAAGTCCACATCCCTAACAAAGTCCCAGCCTACTTATCAGGCATTATTGCTTGCTTATTCCAGATCTTTCTCCATCATTTCCTTCCCAGACTTCCAATTCATGCATGCACATGCATGTACACACACACGCGTGAGCGCACACGCACACCCACACACAGAGTTCAGTCCACTCCCTCCTGGCAAATTCTCTGGCGCTCCCTGGATCCCTGCTTACCTCTGTACCTTTGCACCTGCTGTTCCCTCTGTCCGCCTCTTTATCTGATTGACACTTCCCAGTCCTTCAAAGCCTAACCCAAGTTTTGCTGCCCCAGGCAAGGCTCAAAAATACTTGTAAAATGAATGGACTGGTGATTGGTTAGCGGGACAATATTACACTGTATCACTGCACATGGTAGCTGCATGGAGCAAATCTCTCTCAAAGTGATACATAGATGCCATCTTTCTGATAAGGCTGGGAAGCCAGTAGAGAAAATAATGACCTCACTGATGCCAGCGAGGTTATGCAACACAGCAGTCAAGTTAGAGCTGGAATCCTGGGCCAGGCAGGGAGCAATGGGCTGGGGACAGAGCTAACTATATACTTTTCCAAGTTAAAGGACTTCCCACTTTCCAGAAAGTATAAGGAAGCTTCTGTCTAACCTCCAGGTCTAGACTGAAAGCAAGACCTTTAGAAACCTTAAAAGGTATGATTCACAATTTAAAAGAAAGAAAGAAATTAAAAAGACTTAACCTCAAAACAGGCGTAAAGAATTTTAGCGAGAGTCCAATTTTTCCTATGAAATCTTCTTTGATGTTTTGAATGAAATGTCAAATTTCCCTCCCCACACACATACCTCTTATTTTTGGCTGCCCCAGCTCTTTGCCAGGGCCCTGAGCAAATGTTTAGTCTGCCTGCCGGTGGGGAGCAAGCACAGGCTTTCCTGGCCTTTCATCCCCTGACCTTGGCCTCCTGGGGTCCCCTGGTTGCCTGGTCCTGTCTAGTGGTGAGCTGGATGGAGAGAGAGAGAGGCAGCAGGAGCCTGTGGCCTAGACATGCTAGGACGGAGGGTAGAAAGATGAGCGGATGAGACTGGGAATGTGGCTCAGTGGTAGAGCGCTTGCCTAGCATGCATGAAGCCCTGGGTTCCATTCCTCAGAACCACATAAACAGAAAATACCTGAAGTGGCGCTGTGGCTCAAGTGGTAGAGTGCTAGCCTTGAGCAAAATGAAGCTCAGGGACAGTGCCCAGGCCCTGAGTTCAAGCCTCAGGACTGGCGAAAGAAAGAAAGAAAGAAAGAAAGAAAGAAAGAAAGAAAGAAAGAAAGAAAGAAAGAAAGAAAGAAAGAAAGAAAGAAAGAAAGAAAAGAAAAGAAAAGAAAGGAAGGAAGGAAGGAAGGAAGGAAGGAAGGAAGGAAGGAAGGAAGGAAGGCAGGCAGGCAGAAAGAAAGACAGAAAGAAAGAAGGAAGGATGAGAGGATGCCTGAGGCTGAAAACTCACACCTATAATCCTAGCCTCCTAGGAGGAGGCTGAGATCTGAGGATTGCAGTGTGAAGCCAGCCCAGGCAGGAAAGTCCATGAGACTCTTATCTCTAATTAACCACAAAAAATTAAAAGCCAGAAGTGAAGCTGTGGCTCAAGTGGTAGAATGTCTTGAATAAAAAGCTAAAGGACAGCATCCAGGCCCTGAGTTCAAGCCAGCGTGCACATGCTCACACGCATGCACGCATGCACGCACGCACGCACTCACACAAGATGAGGGGATGGGCGGAGGCAGTTTCTGCACTCAGGCAGGTGGAAGGGGGAGCCTGGGCTCCAGACCCAGAGCAGCCCTTCTGGTGGCTCAGGCCCTGACTGTCCACTAGCCGCTGTGAGAGAAGCCATCTCTTCTTTCTTCCTTCCACTTGAGGAAGTCAAACCATTTAGGACTGTCTGACTTTCTACACTCCCACAGTGGGCGTGGCCTCAGCAGGCCCCTCAACACTCCTGTCTGTCACATGCCTCATTTTTCCCAATGGCCAAATGCTATGCTCCAGTCTTGGCCTCCAGGTTTGATCACTTCCAAAGTATGTATTTACCCCTATCAGACACAGATGGACCTGAAAATTCAGTTGGGTTCTTCAGACAAGGGCAAACCACCTGCCACATCCCTGGCCTTGCGCTATGCAGTGGTATAAATGAAACCCAGCCTGGCGCCCACAGGACAGCCTGGACTGGGTTCTCTCACCCTTGAGCACCTGTTTGCTTCTGCCCACAGCCTTAGCCCTTCTGCCCAACGCCCCTGCTGGGCGAGCAGGGAACTACAAGGCTCCTTGAAGGGACAGGTGTGTCACTGGTGGCCTGTGACTGCAGGATCACCGCCTCATACCCACGTCCAGAAGTGGGGGTCTGAGCCTGGCTGTCCTCCTCCCACAGGGGCTCTGGGCAAGAGCAGGCCAGGCGGGGAAGACAGCCCTTCCCGGCACTTCTTTGAGGTGGGAGTCTCCACCCTACACCCCAGGCTCCAATGGCAGACTGCCAGCAGCCTCAGGGCTGCTGCCCTGGTGGCCCTACCTAGGGAGGTCCCACTCCCACAGGGCTCCAGGAGAGGCCTGCCTCCCCCTACACACCTACCCGCTGATGGCAACAGATAACCCCAAGAAAGCAAAGCCGGGAGTGGCGCTGGGACGGGGAGGGAGTGGGAGAAGGGCAGGGGCAGAGGGAGCTGAGGGGCGGCGCGTGACTCACAGTGACTGCAGGCTGGGCAGCTCCCACAGCGCCTCTGCGGGGATCCCTCCAAGCTGGTTGTTCTGCAGCATCCTGAAGGAGAAAGGGGGGGTAAGGACTGGGGCTGGGAGGGCTGGGTGGGGGCTCCTCCTTTTCCCCTCTTCCCTGAGATAGACCCTTCATTTCACCCCCAGAGCCCAGAGAGGGTAAGTGCAGCCCCTGCCTGCATTGTCAGTGGGGAACCAGAGGCTACTGAATACAGTGGGGGGATGGGAGGGCTAAGGCAGACCCTTAAGGCTTTGAGACAGACAGGAGTCAAGGAGGAGGAGGAGAGACAGGGGCTGTGGTGAAAGCTCCTTCTGAACACGTGGGATTCTGCTGAGGCAGACACAGAGATGTAGATGGTTATTCCCAGGCTGCCTCAGTTTCCCTGCCTATTCTGCCTAAAAGCAATAGGTTTCTTTGTGAGGAAGGGGCCCCAGAGAAATAGGCTTTTGGGGGGGTCTTTATCTATAGAAGTACTTGTAGCACCAGAACCCCCTGTCTGTCTGTCTGTCTGTCTGTCTGTCTGTCTCTCTCTCTCTCTCTCACACACACACACACACATACACACAGAAGTGGAAATGGATCACTCACTAGGCTGGCTTCCTCCATTGTTCGAGACAGGACCACTGAAGTACTTTGGAACCTAGACAAGCTCAGAGAGCATGCAGAGAGGAGCAATGGGGGAGCAGGGTGCCTCTCCATGGGGTTCTGCTGACCCCATCAGGCTCCAAGCATCAGAGACGTCCCCTGAGATGGAGCCCTGAGCAAGGTGCCTGACTCCAAGGGCTTATGCTGGGCATGGAAGTGAGGGAGATTCTGAGGCAGAAGTTGGCATCTGAACACTCTTTATCTTTATGCTCCAGAAATGAAAAGGGAAAAGTAGGGGAGCTCAAAGAACAGCCAAGAGGCAGGAAGAAAGGTCCTGCTGGCTGACCCAGGCAGAGTGATGGAGCCTGCCCTCCCTCTTGCCTGCCCTCCTTCTCTCCCAGGCCATACACATGTATACCTTTGCCTCCCCCACTAGGAACGGGGAAGGTGAAGGGATGAGCACTCCGTGAATACCTGGTCTGTGCCAAGTTACACTGTAGGGTCTACAATGACAGTGTTGTCAACCCATTGCTCAGAGGCTCAGAGAAAAGCACTTCCCCAATCCCTGCCTAACAGGCTGTAGGGCAAAAGGCTTCCTTTCTTTTCTTTTCTTGTGTGTGTGTGTGCACACATGCACACCAGTACTGGGGCTTGAACTCATAACCCCATGCTCTCACTTGGCTTTTTCACTCAAGGTTGGTGCTCTCCCACTTGAGCTACACCTCCACTTCTAGCTTTTTGCTGGTTAATTAGAGATAAGAGTCTATGGACTTTCCTGCCTCTGCTGCCTTTGAAGCACGATCCTCAGATCTCAGCCTCCTGAGTAGCTAGGGTTATAGGTGTGAGCCACCAGCGCCCAGCTTAAGTGGCTTGTTTTCTGACCTTCATGCTTAGTAACAGCAGCAGCTGACGTGCCAGGCCCCACTCTTAGGACACGGCAGGTTTTCACCCAAACGCATCCTTGTTGCATGTCTACTGGGAGAGGTTATTCTCCTTATTTTAAGGTCACACAGAGGATGAGTGACAGGACTGGGTTTGGACCAGAGTAATTAGGTAATGTCACTATGACACCATACAGCACTTCCCACAATGACAAGGGACAGAAAAATCAATGTTGAGGAGGTAGATGACAGACTTGATCATTGTTCATACCTCCTGTGTGACTGCTCTGGTCAGACTCCCACCTGTTATCACCCCTGACCTCCTTGTACGTGCATACAGGAAAATTCCAAAGTGTGGCCCATGAGTGTAGCCTGCTGGGTCTGTTGCAGGTCTGGACAGAGGCAAAGCTGAAAGGAAGAATGAGGGTGGCCTTGAGGGGGGAGGGCTGGGATGGGAAGGCTCCTGGCTATGGGAGTAGTAAAGGGCAGCACAGGTGAAAGGCCAGACTGCATGGGGGCTGGGCCCAGGGCTCTGAGCATCAGAAGACCCAGCCTCTTTCTGCATAATCCACGATCCTCAAGGTCTCTCAGCCTCTTGACCCATCCAATCCAGGCTCCACATAGCATAGCATCAGAAGGACCTTTCCAATGTCCACATTGTGCTTGGCCAGTAGAATTTAAACCTTCTCCTGCATGCAGCCTCTGAATTCAGAAGGTTGATTCTGCACCTGAAGCTTTGCCCTCAGCAAATGGTGCCATGTGCAAGGACTGAAACTCCCAGGGCCTTAGTTTCCCCATGCATGAATCAGTGATAAGGCCCATGTCCTGCACCAACCACAGGAATCAAACAAAATAGCCTCTGTCAATCACTTGGAGCAGAGTCTTACACATAAAAGCATTCTGGCTGATACCATTAAATATGATTATTACTGTCGGCTCTGAATTCTCCCACTGACTGTTTGGTTCGAATAAGTCCTACCTGTCTCTGGCCCTTGGTTCCCTCATCTTTCAAAGGAAGAAGCTTGCAAAACATACATAAAGCATCTCTCACGCTGGGCACTGATGGCTTGTGCCTGTAATCCTAGCTACTCAGGAGGCTGAGATCTGAGGATCACAGTTCAAAGCCAGCCTGAACAGGAATGTCCATGAGATTTTTATCTCCAATTAACCACCAGAAAACTGGAAGTGGAGCTGTGGCTCAGGTGGTAGAGCTAGAGTACAAATAGGCCCTCAGTTTAAGCCCCACAATAGACAACAAAAAAATAAAGTCTCTCACTTGTAGCATTCAGCGAGCCAACCTAACATAATCCTTTACATGAAGAAGTAACAGGCCAGTCAGTGGAAGCAATCTCCTCACTAGGCTGCCCTCCTGGAGCTGGAACCCAGCCACAGGACCCAGGACAGCTCCATGGGGGATGGGGATCCTGGGAGCTCTTTGGGGACCTGTTACAGCCATGCTCAGGGCAGGTCCGAGCGCATATGGAAGGGGAGCTTGCTGACACTGACCTTCCAGCCAGCCACCCTGACTTCTAATGGGACCACTGCACTCTGACCTCAGTGAGCTGCCTCAGCATGCTTGGAGCAAGGATACAGGAGAAACGATGGTGAGAGGATAGGGGCCAGAGGCTGCCCAGGCTCCTCACAGGGCCCTACCCCTCCAGGACCTGGAGTCTACATCTGGTCACTGTAGAGAGGAGTTTCACCTCCCAGGAGTACATCAATGCACCTCCACCTCTATCACCTCCTCATACCCCCTACTTGAGAGGGAGGATCTAGAATGATCTTTAATGTGAATTATACACATATACACATATATACACACCCAACACAGATGCTGCAGGGCACTTAGTTTTCCTTCCAGTGTCCATATCTCCCCAGAAAACTGATACCACACCAGACCATCTGGCCATCAGGAAGACCTCCCATGAATCAAAACCCAGTAACCTGGACTTGAGCATGGCCGCAGGCTTTGGGCCTAGCCTGATTCTCTTGCTCTTCCAGCCTCATGCCCCAGCCCTCTCACCTTTGGTGATGCCCAGAGGGTCCTAAGGGTGGAAGGGCCATTTGAGGGGCCGGCCTTTATTTATGATCCACAATGGAGGCTGAGTACGGAGGTGACTTCCCCTGAGTTACAAAGCATGTCAATGGGAGAATCAGGACCAGGATCCAAGTCTGCTCCAGGCTTGGTTGGAGCCCACATTCTTTCTCCTTCTGGCCCTCATTCTGCCTGGTGGGTAGAGTGGCTCAAAACCAGCACTGAATCCAGCCCTCCTGCCTGCACGGCAGCCCAGTGAAACCTCAGACCTCAGAAAGATGAGGGACATTAGTTCTCGAGTTCCCAGGGGCTTCTAACATGCAGCCCTGCATCAATTGTAAATCTATCCTTGGCCCCCATCCCTGCTCATACACATGAAGCCTGCACTGAGTACCACAGTTGGAAGGTCACGGTGAGGCGGCCTACCAGCGGTTTCCAGTGGCCTTTCTTTTAGATCTGTGGGGATGAGGGAAGCAGGTCCTAGAGGCCACCCAACCCCTGTACCCATTAGTCATGGTCCCTTAGGAAAGAGTCAGAGAAGGACAAGCCCCCCTCCCATTTATTTTACTCTTTGCTTCTAGGAGGACAAGAAAGAGGAAAGATGTCCCCCAGGAATAGCTAGGTCTCAGAGAGAGGAAAGGTCATCTCAGAGAAGGGTTCCAGACTGAGAGGAGATGGGGAAAGCTATGGTCTCCTATATGGAAGAGAGGCTTTGCTGATGAAGGGCTATACTACTTTTTTTTTCTCTTGCAAGTCTGAAAAACAAGCAGAGGAAGGGCCTGCAATGAGGGAAAGGGATCTGACCCACCCGTCGCCTTCATAGGACATTGTGCCCAGGGGTTGCACATGCTCTGAACCCCTGGAGAGGGAGGAGGAAGTAGAGGCATGGGGGGTCTGCCCACCACCCTCAAAAGAGAGGCGGTCTACAGGCAGATGCAGACACAAAGGTCGGTGAGGACGAGGCAGGGCCGGGGTCCCTGGCAGAGTGAGGACAGGGTGGGCTGGCTGTCCTCACTTCCACCTCCTGGCTCTCAGTGCCCAGGCGCTGCTGGTGGAATGGGGGCGGGTGGCCTGCGGTTTCTCCTGGGCTTTGATTTATTGCCTAATGCAGGCAGAGAAGAAAGAGGAGGCTCATCTCTAAGCCGAAGCCTTAGGAACGGACGTGAGTCTCACATCTTCTGAAGCCCGGCAAACAGAACCCTGCTCTCTAATCCAGCTGCAGGTCTGAGCCTGCCACTGGGCACAGACATGCCACCAATCAGACTGCCTGCACGGTGAGTCTGGTTTGGGATGTCTCTTCTCCACGCCCCCCTCCCACCCCGGGGCGGGGGGGGGCAGCAGTGTTAATGTGGGGAGAAACAGAGAGGGCAGGAACTACAACTGAGAGATAGGGAGCGGAGGGGCAGAGAGAGACAGAGAGAGCCAGGTGTGACACAGAAAGGAGTAAGAGCGTAACAAAGATGCCACATGGGGAGCCACATGGGGAGGCAGCTGGAGAAAGGGAACAGGACTGATCATGTGGGAAATGGAGAACAGGCTTAGTTGTGGACTATTGACCTGCTTGAAGTTTGAAGCTTATGGACCAAGCGGGGAAGGGCTATTGCTAGTCCATAAGCCACGTGAAGAAAAGCAGAAAAAGATGCCACTTTCTGGTTGATCCAGCCCCAAGCTAGGACACAGAATTTGATTTCAGCCCCTTCTTATCCCATCAGCCAGATGGTCTTGCACAGTCGACAGCCTGCTCAACTGTACAAAGGCGGACTGGGGATGTGGCTTCGCAGTAGAGTGTTTGCCTGGCATGTAAACAAAGCTGGAAGTAGCCCTGTGGCTCAAGTGGTAGAGTGCTAGCCTTGAGCAAAAGAAGCTCAGAGACAGCACCCTAGTTCAAGCCCAAGGACTGGCAAAAAACAAAAACCTGTACAAAGAAGACTTATAAGAATAGTCAGGGCTGAGCAGCAGAGCTGGGGATGGCTCACCCCTTCAGGGAAGCCCCTAAATAGTCTACTGATTCAAGATCTTCATTTTCTTCCCAAGTCTAACGGTGTGGTGATGCCTTCCCCTGGAGCCTCTCCTTTCAATCTTCAGATCCTGAGCAGACATCTCCTCCACCTGCGTCCACCATAAGGACTTTGGGAGGGCAATCTCAGTCGTGGGCTGGGCTGAAAGGAGATGGAGCCTCAGCCTTCCCTTCTCTAAAGTGTGCTTCCGGGTCAACGGGGAAAGGATTCCAGCCCTAACTTGCCTTTTGGCTCTAAAGAACAATGAAAGGCAGCCCAGTGCCAGTGGCTCACACCTATAATCCTAGCTACTCAGGAGGAAGAGATCTGAGGATCACTGTTCAGACGCCAGCCTGAGCAGAAAAGTCTGTGAGATGCTTATCTCTAACCAGCAAAGAAAAAGGGCTAGACAGGAGCTATGATGCAAGTGATAGAAGCATTAGCAGTGAGCAAAAATACCTAGTGAGGACACAGGCACTGAGTTCGAGTCCTAGTTCCAGCATGCACGTGCGCACGCGCGCGCACACACACACACACACACACACACGAGTAGTGGAAGGGGCTAGGGCAGTTGAGTCTAGATGGGATGTGTTCATGGTGAGAATGGAAAGGGAGACTAAGAAAAGTACAGGACAGAGATATCATTCTTCCCTCCAGAGTCGGCACACAGGTCAAGCACAAAGAAATGTTTGTTTATACATTATAAAGCTTGCTACAAAAGAGGAAAGCAAGTGAAATTAAAAGTGGTGATAAGGTTGGGCACCAATGCTCACACCTGTAATCCTGGCCACTCAAAGCTAGCAGGGGAAGACAAATCCAAGCAACTCTTCTCTCCAATTAATCACCAGAAAGCCAGAACTAGAGCTATGGCTCAAGTGATAGAGCACCAGTCTTGAGCAGAAAAAGCTAAGGGACAGCAAATTCCCTGAGTTCAAGTCCCAGTATACACACTTATACTTACACACACACACACACACACACACACACACACACACACAGAGTAGAGTTTTTTTTTTTAAGAGAGAGAGAAGTCAGGGCAAACCAAGACAGTTCTCATTGTTATACCTTTAAGGAAAATGGGGCAGACCCCTACTTACAGAATTTTCAAGCTGTAGAGACCAGAGAATGCTTGTCCTGGGATGTGGGAAAGATGGTTTCCTGAGAGGCGCCTGGAAAACAGAGACTAAGGTCAGTGCATCTGGCATTGATGGAGAGGCCTCCACTGGTTTGTGTCATGGAATACCAGAGGGGAGGGTACTGCTAACATCCGCCACAAACTGAACTCTATAATTGACTTATTCTCTTACATCATCTAGAATCACACAAGGACCCTGTTACATGGACAGCATCCCTTATCTGTGAACTTCCTTGGTGGTTTTACTTCAGGGAATAGCTACTTTTGACTCCTAGACTGAAGAAAAACAGCCCTCAAAAAAATAAGTTTAAGTGAGCACTCGTGGCTCACACCTGTAATCCTAGCCACCCAGGAGGCTGAGATCTGAGGATCATGGTTCAAAGCCAGCGGGGGCAAAAAAAAAAAAAGTCTATGGGTCTCTTTTCTCTGATTACCATCAAACAGCTAGAAGTAGAGTTGGCTCAAGCAGTAGAGTGCCAGCCTTGTGCAAAAAAAGCTAAGCAAGAATATAAAGCCCTGAGTTCAAGTCTCAGTACTGGCACACACACGCGCATGCACAAATTCCTTTTAAGTTTTAGATTTCAGATTTTTTTGACTCAAATTTTTTTACCCTCAAATTTCGGATGAAGAAGCTAAGATTGGAAGAAGCCAAGCCCCTTCTTCTAGAGCTGGCCTTTCTGGTTAGTGTTGGCACAGGGAGCTTTTACTCTGTCTCACTGCCTCCAAACTTACTACTGCCCTCCAGTGCCACGTTCTCTCCCACATCACCACAGCCTACTCTCAGCCTCTGACCTGTGACACGGCCTGGCCCCTGCTGAAGGCCAGGGTCCAGAGGGTCTGCATTTCCCCAGGCCTAACACTCACACTCCACAGTTAACTGCCCACGGACCCAGGAACACTTGAAAGTGAGGTGCTGTAACTGGCCTAACATTCTAGTCCAGTCACACATCCCCCCACATCTGTCATGGGGGTCAGTTCTAAAAAGGAGCAAAGAGGCTGGGAATGTGGTTTAGTGGTAGAGCGCTTGCCTAGCATGCATGAAGCCCTGGGTTCCATTCCTCAGTACCACACACACAGAAAAAGCTGGAAGTGGTACTGTGGCTCAAATGGTAGAGTGCTAGCCTTGAGCAAATGGAGCTCAGGGACAGTGCCCAGGCCAGAGTTCAAGCCCCAGGACCAGCAAAAAATAAAAAAATAAAGGAACAAATGTAATCATATATCCTTGCCATGTATGTACGTGTGTGTGTGTGTGTGTGTGTGCTGTCCCTGAGTTCTTCAGCTCAAGGCGAATGCTCTACCACTTGAACCACAACACCACTTCCAGTTTTCTGGTGTTTTATTGGAGATAAGAGACTTAGAGACTTTCCTGCCCTAACCTGGCTTTGAACTGCAGTCCTCAGATCTCAGCCCTCTGAGTAGCTAGGGTTACAGGTGTGGGCCACCAGTGTCCTGCTCATACACACATCTTGTCAACACTGGCTGTGTAACTGCAGATGGCTCAGAAGTCTCTCCAGCACCTCCAGAGTCCCCAAACATTATCAGGGTGCATCAGCAGCTGCCAAAACCCTGTGAGGAGGAGGATCGCCTGGCCTTGTACTGAAGCTGGTTTTTAATTGGTTGATTGTTGGTGGGGGAGTGGGGGGAGTTGGGGGGATTTTGTGTGTGTGTGATGTGGAGAGACATAGTCTTACTATGTAGCCCACATTAGCCTTGAAATCTTGACTGTCTTGTCTTGGCCTCCTCAGTGCTTGGGTTACAAACCTGTGCCACCACGCTAGTTTTTAGAAGCAACTAAAACTAGCTACATCCCCTGCATTAAGGATGTAACTCGGTAAAAAGAGGTAGCATGGGTGAAGATCTGGGTTCCATTCTCAGCATGGGGGAAAAATAATCTCTAACAAAAGTCATCTTATTTGACTTTTGTTGCTAAAAACAAACTCTATGCAATGGCATAAGGACGTTTGAGTCTCCAAGCTGGAGCTCTGGAACAATCTTCAGTCAAGTGTGGAGGGATGAATCCTTTGGGTGGGCCCTTAAGATGGGCCAGCTCCCTCTTGGGGAGTGGAGGTGAAGAGTCAGCCTTAAGTTCTCAGCCCTTGTACTGGAGCCCTTGTTATCTACCTGAGTACCTCATCTTGCATTCCCACCCAGGCTGTGCCTCCTCCTCTCCGAAGGCAGCTCCCTGCCCCTTTTTCTATGCTCTTACTTCCTTTGGAAACCAGTTTCCTCTCCCTTGTCTTCCCTGTCCATGGTCCACCCTGCCCCTCCCTTCTGCATCCGCCAGGGTGCTTTCAGCCCCAGAGTTGTAGGCCTGCCTTCCACACAGAACAGCCCATCCAGTACTCGGTCTGCAAGCCTAGCTGTGGCCCTGGGGGTTTAAGGGAACTCAGTGTATCCTAAGGATCGCCGCTGGGGGGCACGGTAGGCAACCTGCTCGGGTAGCTGTGTGGCTATGGGGTGAGGCAGGCTGAGGACCAGGCCTGCACAGCTCGCACGCACTTCAGTGGACCACAAGGTCCACTGTGCAGGGTGAGTGACTGGAGCTGGGAGGTATAGCAAAGGCAGCTGGCTTGAGCTGAGAATCGGGACTGAGCAGACAGGCTGGCGTGGTCCTGTGGGGATGATTTATTCATGAGCATCCTGGACTTTAGACTGGACTGGGAGGAGCCCAGCCTGAGAACACCATGGTGGGGAAGGGGTGGGGTGGGAGGGAGGGAAGCTAACCAGAGAAGACTCTGGAATAAGTAGTCCTCGTAAGCAAGGGTGTTAGAGAATGTACGTTTCAGGCTATAGGGAGCCAAGGTGGGCTCTTGAGCATGTGAAGATCCAGAGGGTGTACAAAGGGTATCAAACGGAGGCAGCCTCCCACCTCTGCACCACCAGCCATGCCAGCAGCCACGGCTCCACCTCCCATCCCCCTCCCCCCCCCAGCCCGGCGCACAGACTCACAGCTCCTCCAGAAAGCGCAGGTGTCGGAAGAGGCCTGGCTGGAGCTCAGTGAGATTGTTCATGCTGAGGTCTCTGTGTGGAGAGAACATGAGAAGGGGTGGTATGAGCTCCCCATCTGTGCCTTCCTGCTTTGTCCAGCTCCAGCCCCCGGGAACAGCCCCCGGGAGCCAGGCCACACGTACCACGCTCTGAACACCCTCCCCTCGTCCCCTCTGCCTCTCCCTTCCCTTTGCAGGGTTCCCCAGGGATTGGAGAACCTCCGGGAAAAGGAGACAGAGAAGAATGTGTAGAATTTTAGAGCAGGAAAGGGGTCAGGGGTCCTCAGCAATCGCTTTTTTTTTTTTTTTTTTACTTTTTTTGTTGTTGTTGCCAATACTAGGGCTTGAACTCAGGGTCTGGGCTCTGTCCCTGAGCTTTTTATTTTTATTTATTTTCTCAAGGCTGGTGTTCTACCACTTGAGCCACAGCTCTACTTCCAGCTTTTTGGGGGTTCACTGGAGAGAAAAGTCTGACTGAGTTGGCTTCAAACCACGATCCTTAGCTCTCAGCCTCCTGAGTAGTTAGGATTACAGGTGTGAGCCTTTGGCTTTTTAACTACTCTTTTTTACTGTGTGGAGACTGAGTTCTAGGATCATGGCCCTTCCAGACTTACAGAGCCGCTCAAAATGCAACTGCACGGGGTGTTCCCACTCCTTCCCTGAGGCTGCCTGGTGGTTACCCTTTCCCTTCGATCCCTTAATTGCCCACAGGGCAGTTTTGCTGCCCTCTGAGGTCTCTGCCTTTCTCCTTCCTCTTTTTTCCATTCCCCAGCCTTCTGCCTTTCTCCGGGGGCTAACATAACCTCTTGACGAATTCCAGAAGACCCATCCGTTTCTAAATGGATGGATATGATGGTCTCTCTGTGGAATTACAATCTAGGTTGTTCTAGATCTCATTTCTAGGTTGTTTTAGATTTCTTGTCCTGCTATCTGAGGGACCCTGTAGAGGAGTTTAGTGTCACAGTCCTCTGAAATGCCCTCGTACACAATCATTATACTGGCATTTACAAGGTCCACTCTGTGCCAGGCACCAGCTAATCTTTATCCAAATAATCGAATGTCATCCTGACAACCGCCCCAGTGCCATTTTACTTCCAAGAAAACAAAAGGGAAAGGCCCTGGGGTCAGATCTCTCCTCCAGTTACCTTGGGCTCTTGACTGTTATGATTTCCTTTTCCTCATCCACAAAAATGAAATATCAACACCCACAAGATGGAGACAAGGCAGGGGGAGCTCAAGATCTAGGCCAGCCTGACCACATCTCAGAAACAACAATAAACGCACAAGGGACAGATTACACCAGCTAATAAGGCCCTTGTAAGGATTAAGTGAGCTAATGTTTACAGATTGCCTAATAAATAGTATCTACACACTAAATATTTGCCTCCTTCCTCCCACCTTTCCCTCAGTGTCCTGTGAGCCCCACAGACCTGGGGGTGGGGGGGTAGAGAGGATTAATGTTTTCATTTGTGGGTCCTGCCCGTGTTAGTATTTTCTTAGTTTGGTCTTGAGTGAGTAGCAATGTGTCTGAGACCTGCATGTGTGTGCCTGAAACATTCGGATTCCATCCCACTTTAAACTCTTCCCTGCTAGGTACTAGTATCTCATGCCTGTAATTCTTCCTACTCAGGAAGGTGAGATCTGAGGACTGTGTTCCAAACCAGTTCAGGCTGGAAAGTCCATGAGACACTTATCTAGAAGTGGCTCAAGTGGTAGCGCACCAGCCTTGAGTAGAAAAAAAAAGCTCAGAGTCAGTATCCATCCAGGCTTGGAGTTCAAATCCTAGTTTTCTTTCTCTCTCTCCCCCCACCCCTTCCTGTGAGCTGCTTCTTGCCTCTGCTTGCCCCTCCTAAGAAGTGCAGAGGTGGGGGCAGAGCACACCACCACATAGCTGGGCAGTGCCCACAGCCTTCTGCCACTTCCTCTTTCCCAGGAGTGAACCATCACCCTTAAACCTCAGTGCCTCCATTTTGCCCCCAGAAACACATACGTGTTGTGCATATGCTGAGAAAGCCAGGCTGGAAATGATGGGGAAAGTGTGCTGAGAGGCCAGTTCCCATCTATAAAAAGACTGTTTAGTCTCAAATGTTTTATCTTTGATAAAGCTTGGGCTCCAGACTCCACATTCTCTAAGGAAAAAGACAGTTTGTCCAGGGTAAAGCCAAGGAAACTGGCATGCCGAACTTGGGGCTGGTTCTTGTCCCGTGCAATAGAAGGACCATCTGTGGCCTGCTCAAGCCAGGGCAGGCTCAGTGGAGGCCACAGCTGTCATGAGGTAGCTGTCACAGGTAAAACCACGACAGAGGTGGACACGAGGGCTCCAGGGTGGCTTTTAGACAGGATTTTGGTGCTCAGGATGTTCCCTGGCCCAATCTACTAGCCTTGGGCTCAATTCATTAGCCTTGTGTTCCATGAACTAGCCTTGGGCTTGATTCGTTAGCCTTAGGCTCAATCCTCTAGCCTTGGGCTCTGGCTGACCTGTGCAAACACCAAGGCTACTTAGACTGGACAGCAGCAGTGGACGATGCTCGCAGAAGCCCAGGCTGCAGGTCCTGTGTCTGTAGGGATTCTACCCCTGAAGTCTCGGGCCCGGCTCATCTTTAACAAGAAGGGAGGTGCGAGGTGCTATGAAAACAATTACCTCTAAATATTTACTCTGTGCATTTCTGGATGTGCCCAGACAGGCACGGAGCGGGAGTTCAAGGAGCACACGGGGCATGTGACTCAGGCCTCATCACTCAGCTGTCCCTCCAGGGGCCGCACACCGAGCCTCTGATGCGGCTCCATGTCCCCCACCCACTCCCTCCCCCCCACCTCCCTGACGAGCAGCCTCATTGTTCTCCCTGGGGACAAGGGGGCTGCCCCCCCACCCACAGCCACCCCCAACATCCTGCCTGGGACAACAGAGACAGCTCACAGACTAGCTCTGGTGCTTTGTAGAAGGGTGGGGTGAGGATTTCAGATGGCAGGGTGGGGGAGCCCCTTTCAGACCTGGCTCTGTCACAAAAAGAAAAGGGGTGAGGCTGGTGCCAGGGGAGGGGAAAGGAAGAGGAATTTGAGAAGTAGGAGAAAGCAGCAATGCAGAGATTTCAAAGCCCATCTCTTCCATACTTAATGCCACCGGCCTTAGGGATGGTTGAGGGCCCTGACAGCAGGCCCTGGGCCTTGCACGGGGACAGGAAGGGGACTGTCACATACTCTTCCAGAACAGAGGTTGTCTGATCAAGCTGGTAGCTCTGACCAACAGCTGTCCTGGCAAGCCATTTGTGCAACCCAGAAGACATGGCTCAGGCATTCAGGCCGTGCCTGAACCCAGGGGAAATTGGAGGGCACCCTGACTTGTGGGGTCTGGGGTTTGCTAGTGGCGACATTGGCTTGATCATATGACCTTGTATGAACATGAACAGGGTCGTGTGTTCATATACGTGAGATGCTAGATGTTCTTTGTCATGTACAATGCTGAGCATACAGGGGAAATGGTTGTATAGCATGTCTGCACATGTGCCTGTTGAATGCTAGACCATCAGGAAGGCACAGACTTTCTTGAAGAATCCACCTATAATAGGCAGAAGCTCTTTGGAAAAATGAATAGCTTCCCCAAGTCTTGTCTTTTAGGTTGGAAAACCTTGGTTTGTAGTTTTGGCTGAGTGGACTTGAACAAGCCTAGTCTAGTCTCTTCTCCCGAGTCTCTCCCCTAGGATGCTCAGGCCCAGCTACAACAGATTGCCTAGTGATGCTAGCTTAGGCTTTAACCTATGGCGGAATTGGTTACCCAATGCCCAGGTACAATCTCTCCTCGTCCCTCTGCCCTCCCCTCCACCTCCCCCCTCCTCTTTAGGGCGGGCTTCAGACCCATGCAATGCACAGGGCCCCACACTGAAAAGCCTAGGCTTCATTCTCTACTGTTGCCATTTAAAAATACTTAATGATTTCAAAACAAGAGACTTCACATTTTTATGATGCACTGGGCCCAGGAATGGTTGCTCTTGATGGAAAAACAAAAAGATGGGGAGGAAGTCTTCTTCCCTCGCAGCCCTAAGGCACCCAGAGGGAGCCATGTGAATCCTCCCCGGCTGATGGGGTGGGGGTGAGGGTACTGATGGGCGAGGCTGGCAGGAGGGGAAGGGCGGGGAGGGATGCGAGGGCCAGCCCTGGGCAGGGGAAGTGGAAGGTTCTGGCTGCACATGAGGAAAATGTTTTGAGCTTCACCCTGTGAGGCAACCAGACCACCCAAGGAAGCAGGGCAGGGCAGTGTCACCATGGAGACCAGGAACAGGTTTGATAAGAGGGAGGATGTTGGGGAGCTGAGGGGCCTGCAGGGGGTGAGGGATAGGAGACACTCCCCCTGGGCAACCTGGCTGTGACCCAAAGCTCATGGGGGATCAAGTCTGTCTGAATTTTTCCAATATGAAGAAGACCCTGGGAGAGTGGAGCCCTGGGCTGTGCTGGAAAGATGTCCCTCATGGACTTCAAAGAAGACCCAGGACCAGGACCCCCTTTCCACGGCCTCTGCTGTAGAGCAGAGTGCCCACCTCTGCAGCGATTTGACTCCTGTTGTATATTTAAGGCACACAACTTGATGGCTTGCTGTGCTTACACATGGTGAAGCAATCACCGCCCTCAAGCTAATTAACACAGCGTCACCTCTTGGTCACTTTTGTTTTGGTGAGAACCCTAGACTTTACCCCAGGGAAGAGGCCAAGCTGGGCAGAGCCCTGCAAATCCCTCGGGGGTTTTGTACACACTCAACAATGAATGGTCACAGAGCCCTCGCCCTGTGCCAGGCTCCATGCCCGGCTTCAAGCACTACCCCAGCATGACACTAATTGTCTGGGTGGCCCTAGTTCTGTCTTTACTTTTGCTATTTCTTCACCTATAAAAAGGAACAATAACAGTACTTACCTGATGAGAGTTAATAGTGTGAAGTATATGAGCTAATAAACGTAAAACACCATGCTCTGTAAGTATACCTCATTATTAATATCACAGTCATCCAGGTTATAATTATTACTGTATAATGGCACAGCTGATTAG